CGGAGGAGAAGACGACGACGACGACGGAGGAGAAGACGACGACGACGACGGAGGAGAAGACGACGACGGAGGAGAAGACGACGACGACAGAGGAGAAGACGACGACGACGACGACGACGACGGAGGAGAAGAAGACGGAGAAGGCCAAGAAGATGAAACGAAGGAGAAGAAACGAAGAAGAAGAAGGAGGAGAAACGAAGAAGGAGGAGAAGAAACGAAGAAGAAGGAGGAGGAGGAGGAGAAACGAAGAAGAAGAAGAAGAAGAAGAAGAAGAAGAAGAAGAAGAAGAAGAAGAAGAAGACAAAGAAGAAGAACAGATTTCATTACAATAAAAAATATCTCCACTCAGAAAAATTTAATCCAAAAATTTGAAAGTTTTTTGAGAAACTTTTCTCAAAACTCTTGAAAAGGTTAAGGGTTTACATAAAGTACCCACCAAAATCAAAACATCTGTTTCAAAATCATGACCTCAAATTGGGCTAAATCAATGTAGAAATGTCAATTTTGGTGAAAATCATCTGAATGGTTTAACTGCTAGAGATAACCACAGATGGATGGAGGAACGTTTTGTCAGTATCAAGTTGACCAATTGTCAAACAAATCAATTTTCCAGTATCAAGGACCCACAAAACTTAAAATCCTGATAACATAAAATATCAGACAACGTAATTTACTACATACATGGGCAAGAATTAATCAGTTTTTGGCACCAGGAAGTCACAATACAATACTTTTTCTTTACTGCATAAGAATGTAATAGGTGAGATAAAGATATCACATATTAACACCTCAGTCAATTGCAACTCCAATTCACATTATATTTAATTGAAAGTGTTTAATAACTTGAAATAATTCAAAAAAAATTCTACATATAGCACCCATAATATAAGATAAAGTTGAGACAAGTTTAATATCAGGTCACACGTCTCCCACAAGAGTGTAGAATACCATGTTTAGGCAAATGGTATAAGCAGAGTAGTCAAACCTTTTTGATTGTCAAAAAAAACACGTTATTTGACCAAGCAATTAATCTCAATGAAAGTAATCATTATTTCTGTAAAGAATTTCCCTTGGGAAAAATACTGAAATCAGACTCTACTTGGCTAGCCGACTAAAAAACATACAATTGCCCTAGAAGTTTTATTCCCTCTCAAACTTTTGTAAATCAATTACATATTCTTATAATATCACTCCATGTTTATTAAAATATGCGGGGGATTCAAAAAGTTTTGCAAGTGACCTGCTAAAATCCACAACTACACAATTACCAAAATCCACAATTACATGTATTGGAGTACTAACCTTCATTATCCTTCAACTGTAAATGTTTGTGGAGTATGGTTTACATGCTACCAACATTGATACCATCATCTGTACTTAACATTTGCACAGGAATATGACGATTTTTTCAACTCCCTCCCTCACATGATGAATTGTTCTCTCGTTCACAGCTTCTCAAAGTCACCCAGGACAAGGGTCATCTTCCAACCTCTCCCTTCAATGCTCAAATGAACGAATCCATCTGGCAAAGGTATCAAATGTACACACTTGGTGCCCATGAATTGCTTTCAAGTCATCATGGATTCTCTTACCCTTTTCACCTTGTTTGTAGCATATGAGTATGTAAAACTGAACGTTGTACTTCGAGAAATCCATGTTTTTACACCATGTACGGTCACTATACTAACTTCTAAGTTTCAGACTGTGCAAGACTGAGCTTTCACTGCTTCAAGAATTTATAACAGAAAGTTCACAGAATTCACCCACAATAATGCAAACACAATACTCATTGTTTAACAATGCTTCACTTGCAAAACTTTTTGAAGCCCTTCCGTAATACTTCAAAGTTATTGAAAACAATGAAAGAACAAAATATATAATATACATTTAACTAAACATGATCTGGTCCACATATTGTTTCCTTTACTTTCTGATTCTCTGTTTCTTGGCAAATTTGAAATTGATGAACTAGCTTCATTGCCTTTATAATCTCTATGTATGTTTGGCATCTTTCAATGAAAGACTGATAACCAGAGTGAAATTAAACTAATTCATCAACACTTTTCACCAAAAAACTTTATATGGTTCAAAGATAATCAGAGCACAAAGAAATAAATATTTAGACCATGTTGAAATCAATTATCATATAAGCTAGCACATAAGATGCACTTCACTTATATAATCATGCAAGAAAAAATCTAAATTAAGTTTCTTGAAATTTATTTTACTAAATTTTTGAACAATTCCATGCTGAAAATGTGAAAGTGAATAATATCAATTATCTGTCTGTTCATTGTTTGTTTGCAAGTAAATACAATTAAAAGAAATAATTAATACAACACTACAATTTTCATTAAATGCAAAATAGTTCTTTTTTTGAAAAAATTGAAACTCAAATCAAACAAAAAAATTAATAAAGTAATACATTTGATAATTACATTGCCATGTTTTTTATTTACCTATAACTTTAACTTTCAGAACCAGAAACTATTCCTTTACAAAGAACTATTTGACATCACATAAATTAAGCACCAGTGTAAAAGATGGACCACTCATGATTTCTAACAACAATCTCGTAATTAGGGAGTAATACTATAGGCTTTTTTGTGGAATGATAACTTTGCACAACCCTTGCCAGAACAAGTTTCGACTTAACCTTCACTAAACTTTCTACAATTCTCTAATAATGGCTCTATATAACACTGAAACTACCATTTCATCACCTTTACTGTAACCATAAGTAAATTGTAAATGTATTTACACACGATATGATCAATTTTTCTTTGTTTATTCCCTCTGTACACTTCACTACATTCATGAGGATTAGGTTGATTTTTCAGGGACTCATTTCATAGGACAAATTTGTTTATTCTCAGTTTTCCAAAGCCTTTCTTAATTTTTGCTGAGAAGATTTTTTATTTCACATTATTTAAAGAAAATATTAAAGCCAGCCTGATATAAAACCCGAAATAAAACATGAAACCACTTGTAGAAATGTACATGAAAATGAGTTTATCAAAGATTTTGGTATTTTGCTGTTTCAATTTGCTTCAAATCCCCAAAGCTGTGAATTACAAGCTCACCTCTTGTGTAACATCCTTCACAGACTCTTACTGGAGAAAGCCAACCTCGGTCTGGTACAGGCATGGTGCGGTTAGAGCAATCTTCACAAAAGCCTTCACCACATGCACGGCAATGATGCTTGCTGTCTAGCAGCCCAAACACTTTCTCGCACTTATGACAGTTCTGCACCAAACACACAAAACAGAAAATTATGAGAAGGAATAGCTGTGGATAAAAAAGATTTAGATCTCCCAACAGGGATGGGGGAGTGCTCACAGTGTTTCAGACTCCCTCCCCCAAGAACCAATGATACATAGTAAAAAATGTAACTTTTATTCATTTTCTACACTTATGGAAGTAACTGAAAATATCAATTGTTAACATTATAAATATTAACTACAAGTCAACAAAAAAAAATTCTTCATAAGAAAACACGGAAGTTGAGTAAGGTAAGTAAAAAAGGTTCACTGAACCAAAGTAAAAATGAAATGAATGCCGAATGTTACCTACGAAAGCATAAATTTCTACCACTTAACATTAATCTGAAAAGCACACACAAGTAAGTCAGTCAAGTCAGCATTTAAGTCTGAAATCTGACATAAAGAATTGAACCACATTTCGTTTGGAAACTGGGAACTAATTTAGCTTAAAGCCAAGAACTACCTGATTCAATTTTGACTAGTGCTACAGCATATGCTACTCTTGCCAATTTACAATGCATACCTTAATTTCATGGTTGGGTCGCCAATATTTGGGAGCTATCTGGTCTGCTACCCAAGATGATATGATTCGGGTGGGAGGTGATCCCACATTGACAACAGCTTCTGTGACGTATGAGACTCCATCTAACACTTTCTGAGCTGCATTTTGACTACCCACCATTGATGGGTTATTCTGCAAGAGAAGACCCCAAAAACATGGAATACAATTTTAAGCCTCCACTTCTTATTTGGCTAAACTTAAATAATCAGATTATATTTCTTTACCTGACCATACTATTGTAAATTTCCACTGGGGATCAGAAATTAAAACAGAATTTGGAAACAAATAAAACCAACATAAACTCAACAAGCCATTTATGTAATTAAGACTAACCCCAGGCCACACATGTGTGATTTCCGTTCTCACAGCAATGTCTTCAGGATTCTTGTTACCATACCAGAACTGACGACTGCGATAGATTTCTCCACAATAAGGACACTCTATGACATACCTGAAATCAAACATTATATTTTATTAATTCACATTACAAGCATCAACAAGTGCCATAGGATGTGTTGTGTAATGTTTCATGTTCTATTATTAATCCAAAGGATCCAACTTCAGAATATTTACTTTAGCACGTCATACAATTTAAAAAAATAATTATTTCTATGAAATAAAAATGTTGAAGATGAGAAAAATTCAGTCAGGAATTTTTCACTTTTATCCTCTCACATTTTACAAGGACATTGGAACAAGCAAGAAATCAATATTCATTTTTCATTATACCATAAACTATCATCTCATATAATTCTGTAACTTGTAAATTTGCAAGTATCTTATAAAATGTGTGAATTCTATGACGTATGACACACATGACACCTTAGGTTCCTAACTTTACAAGGAACACACGTGGAGATTAGAAAACAATCAATGTTCGTTACAACTTAAGTTTTTGATATTGAAGCTCCAGATTGGATAATCGCAACCTAGCAAATTCACCTTACTTTTATATCACAGTGTAAGCCTAGGCCTAGGAGAAGGTTATGGATTTTCTTTTATATTTTATAAAAATAAATAAATAAATAATAAATATACAACAAATTAAAGATGCATTTCAACCAAACAAATAAAAAAATGTTAAAGACATACATAAAGAGCAGAAAAACGTAGTAGATTCTTGGCTGCCTGGAGACGATGCATTCTAGGCACAGTTGCTTACATTTTGGTTGTCATATTACGACCTTCCACAGAACAAAATGTATTTCACCTTGACAAAGATTGCAGTATGACAGTCAAAATCTTGGCAATTGTGCTGTGTAAGTGGCATTTCCCAAACAGTCAAGAATCTATTGACTTACACCATAGAAGCCTACATTGTCACCAAGACGTTTAGGGCGTTCTTTAGAGAATTCTTGTCAGAAAGCATTTTAGGGCATTCTTTAGAGAATACAAAAGATTAAATGTTAAATAATATTAAAAATAAAATGCATCTTAAAAGCATTGGAAACCTTTAGAGACCAAATGCCCCTTTAAATGGCTTAAACAACACCAGTTTCAGAGAAATCTTGTAAGAGTACCAGCAATTTTGTTGCACTTTTGCATGAAATAACTTTGACTTTCGATACTTTAATATCATTCACAGAATAAGGTTATAGTGATTTCATACAGTTTAGTGAAGTGCCATCAAAATTTACCAATACAGGCACACCAGAGTTTCCTAAATTGCTTAATATACTCTGGAAATTTCATGAAAAATTCCAAAATATTTTAACAAATATCTTTTAGTTTCTAGTTCTTTCCTCTTTTCCAAAAAAAAGAACATTGATACATAGGATATGAGTCATCAAATGGTATGAAACATTTGTTTAAAAAATAGTAACTACAATGTGAATCTCATAAAAATGATCTTTGATAGATGGGGGCAGGATAAGTTTTGAGTAATTTAAAGAAAATAAATGTTTAAAAACTACTTAAAATACGAGGTTTATAAAATGTGATTAATTAGAGCCTAATACTTCTTTTAATTCAGTGAAATGAGTTTTCAGAATTTTTTTTTTTAAACAGCAAAAATTTTGTAAACGCAGGACTGCACCCATGAAAGTGCATTTCCAATGGCATAACTTTTGCGCTCGCATGGCCTGCAATGCAAGCGGGGCCAAGTAAAAGAGGGCCTATGTTAACTCTGAGCATTTTGTGATTGTAAGAAATATTAATTACTTAATACTTTCTTTGATATTATGTGATAGTTGATACAATAAAAGAAAATCTTCCAGAACAAGGATTTCTTCCCCACTTCTGTATCTTATGTAACCCTGTTTCTAAATTAAAATAATCTGTTTGCAACATTGATTTCTTATGTAGTAATCGTAGACAGATGAATATGAATCTATTAAAGGATAGTTCTTATTATTTAAGGTACTAACACTATTGTGTTTGCTATACACTGCGGACCCGGATACAAGTTTTACAGGCAGGCCTGCACTCATTTCTGAGCATTTCATAAGTTGATTTAAAACACAGACAATTTCAATGTTTCATCATTAATAGAAAAATGTACCTACTATGTTGAGAAAAATTATTCCTTGGGAAAATTATTTTCACCTGTTCACTTGTTCAGGCCTCACTTTATTTAGAAGCCTCAAGCTATTCTTCTATACTTAGATACTTTCATCTGCAATGCAAACAGGGAAATTTTTCCAAAGCACTATCAGCCTGAACTATTAAATAGTTATTGATAGTTTTTAAAACATTCAACATTAAGATGCCATGAGAAAAGCCTAACAAATGCACAGTGTCATGGTCTTCTAAATTTTTAAGGTCTATTCAGGTGCCCCAAAAAATTAGAAAATTTGGGAACACACTCTTACAGTGTCAAATTAGTTTATTACGTTAAAAACAGAAAACAGAATTTTTGGCTAATTTCCCCAACACATACCCTAAAAGGAAATAAAAGCAAGTCTTTAATATCTTCTACTAATTTGTCAGCTCATCAATATGGCAATGAAAGAATAAAAATAAAAATTTGTGAATTTTATATAAATAGAAATTGTGTGACTAGTTTTCTTTATTGTTGCAAATATTTCCCTTATTTCTAAACTAATCTGGTGCTGATTTTTCAAAATTAAATGAAATTCCCTAATTTTTTTGTCTTCCAGGTGTGCTTTGAAAGAGGCTTCTCTGAAGTGCATATTCTCTTTTCAAAAGTAAATGATATCATTAGTGATTCATTGAGACATTTAAACAAACTTTAAACAATAAAGGTGAAGCAAGTGACAGCAAGAACTATTCCAAGCCAAGTATTACTTTTATGCATTTGAGAAAATGACAGTTTGTTTTTAATTTCAGTCGCTTAGAAATTAATAAGAAAATAATTCCAAAACAATGAGACAATTTTCTTTTTTAAAATAATCTACCTAATGTTTACATTTTGTACTTTTCATGAAGAATGAATGCATTTAAAGTATGCTTTAAATAGATCTCTTTAATAACCTATTTTATATGAATAATTTGATCCAGTCTCTTATCAATGAACAAGCCCCCTTCATAAGAACAACAAATCTTAATTAATGTCATGCTTTTGATCAAATTTCAACATCCCTCTATGATAAGTGACGTGTCAGATTACATGGAATCAAAGTCCACACTTTAAACATACACAAACAACGCAACACACTTGTTTCAATGCTAGTGAAGTGACGTCTCACATGATGAAATATTTTGAATTCAAAACAATAAAGAAGAAACATAGTAATAATCTGATGTTTACTTTCTTATCTTATAAACAAGCCCATATCATCCCCTCGCATCAAATGTTCAAACAATCAGATGACATGTACGTGGATTGCAAGGATCTCTATTTGAAAATTTGTGATTCTTGTGATTAGGGACATCCAGACACTTGAAAACTTCCTCCTCCCCCAATTCATACAAAATTAATTTCTCAATGCATCCGAAATAATATATAGTGTTAAATTTGGATAATAGATAAATGTATTTCCATTTCTATTTTAAACAATAAAATAAATAAATAAGTAACTGAGGACTCCAATTAAGTTGTGACCTGGGCGAATTGCCTCAACTACCCCTCCTGAATGCCCTCCCTAGAGAGAAATCACTGATCAACTTTCTCATTATTAGGGGGTGGATTTTAATGAAATAACGTATTTTTCTTTTTACTGCAGAACAATGCCTTTTAGTACAGACATCCATTTTATGTTGTGACAAAAGCAAATGACACATTTTTATATGGCATTTTTTGTTGTTGCATTTTTTGGTCGGTTTTAACTAATAAGTCATTTTTTACTTTTTCCAGTCATTTTAAAAGCATTTTCCACTGATTTCATCAATTTTAATATAAATTTAATGGTACTTGCTTCATATAATAATATAATTCCACCCTATGGAACAATCTAGATCCTAGAACTAATGAAGAGTTAGAAGAAATAGATGTCAATAGTGACAATGAGGATATGGACACCCCCTTGAATATTGAAGAACTAGAGATTTCCTTCATATAATATTTATGAAATGCAATACATGTTCACTGCATAATTCCTGAGTAGTCTATTCGATTTCTACGCTCTGAAATTGTAATGTCAGCCATTGTGAGGACTATGAAGTCTCAGGTTCCTGTGACCCCTATCAGCGTCAGTTCAGCCAATTTTGCAATAACTAAAGAACCTTGGTAAAGAACAGTCCAAACCAAAAGTATGCAAGCTGAGTTTACTTGAACAAAAGAAAGCAGCCTTGATTATAACAGGATCAGGAACAGCTTGTTTATCTGAACTGGTTATGATCAATTTTTTAAAGACTTTTTATTTGCTTTTACATTTTTAAAGAGTTTTTTAATGACCAGATTTGGCAATTTGGCAATTGGGTCATCAAAATCTGCCCCCTACTAATCATAATAGCTATTATCATCATCCATCATCATGAACTAAAAGATGTTTATGCTCAACAGCCTGTTCCATTAGTTATGCAGTATTCTGGGTATTCAACATATTTGCATAAACTCTGATGCTGTTAATAATAGTGTGATGCACCTATAGTTGTCACAGCTCTTCCTTAAGCCCTCTTTTGTACATATTCATGATCAAACCCTCTACCCATTCTTTTCATATTTTCCTCTCCTGCCATACTTTGTTAAAAAGTTCTAGTAATGTTTCTTTTAGTTCATTTACTCCATATTTTATAAGTTCTAGGTTGATTACATTTGATTCGGAGCTTTTCTTATCTTTTGATTTCACTGTCTCTAGTTCTTCAATATTCAAGGGGGTGTCCATATCCTCATTGTCACTATTGACATCTATTTCTTCTAACTCTTCATTAGTTCTAGGATCTAGATTGTTCCATAGGGTGGAGTAGTGTTTTATCCTGTTCTCTTCAGGGATGTAGTTGTGTGATTTTGTTTTTGAAAATGTGCAGCATTTTAAAATTTTTGAATCCCATTCGTTGGGGGTCAGAGATGTCTCTTTCTATACTTTTGATAAATTTTCTCCAGTCTTCTCG